TTTTAGTATGATCGGTGTTTTATTTAAGCGATTTCGTGGGTGGAACTGGTTAAGTTAATAAGCTTGTACAATACAGCGTCATTAACATTATGCTAACATGACAGGACACATGTTATCCTACCGCGAATACATTAACATGAAAGTGCTGTTATAATCCTGCTTTATGAATAAGATTTTTTTAACGAAACAGATATTTTAGTTTATGGTATCAGTAGTGCGTGAAGGACACAAGGGCCTCTTTAGCTCTGATGTTATGGCCTCTTCCGGTCCCTTTTATCAGTTGAATTCTGTTGCAGTGCGCCAGAAAAGTTCACATGAAAAAGTCAGTCTGGCATGAGACTTAGCTTCAGGTTGGCCGCGTCATGACGCATGACGTCCCGATCCAAATGTCCGCTTTCTGACTCGCAGATTTCTGGAACGCCATTATTTGATAATGTCTCAAGAATCGGTGGTTCCGAAATTGATCCTTAATTTTGACCAAGGTGCGATGATGCTCGTGATTTTAATTAATTCCGTAAGCGGTGAGGCGTCTTCGAGCTGGTACCCTTCCGCCTGTCGGGAATCGAAACCCGGTCATCGATCCCGTAGCCAGTGACCTTACTGACTTGGCTTTCTCGGCTCGTACAGGCCTGTGCGTATGGCCTTTCGCTTAGTTGAAACCGAAACTCCCATTCTTGAATCTTTCAGACAGCAGTGAACCAGTTTATAGTGACAGAATCCTCTACCCTCACTCGGCTTTTAGGATGTAGTTCTCTGGTCCTGACTCCGCGTTGATAATAGAGCTGGGACTCTGGGAATGGATCGTATGGAGTAGGAAGATGACATGACCCGTCTCTCACAATACTAAGATGATGGTACTCGCCCAGACATCTCTGGCTTCTCTTTGTAGTAGGAACTAATTTTTTGCAATAGCTGAAACGTGCCTTTTGGGGGTGCATTAATGGTTTAAGTCAGAATTACTGACAAACTGAAGCATGGAGAGATCCTAGCAGGTGGTGGTCAAATCAAACCAGAAATCATGAGGGCAGAACCCGATGTTTTCATCGTGTATAGTACATAGCGAATATACTTAGGTTTTTTATTGCCTACACACCGCGGCACGTTAATGAAGTTGGGTGCTGTTTCAGTATTTTTTTTTGTCAATAATTTTACACTTCATTTCCATCTGATGTGGAAGGATTGCATTTGATAAATCGCGTCACCTCTTGGCGGGCTTAAAGTTGCAGGCCCTAAAACGTTTTAAACTATATTATTTATTAGTTCGATTTTCAGACTGCACGCAACGAGAAGTTTAACCCACACCAAGAACTTCCCTATATAAATTGCTAATTTTGTATGTTATAATAGACTGCAAATAAGGACATGTTTTGTCCGCATGTACCCATCGTCAAGTTTTGTCTTCTGGTCTAGCGGTTAGAACGCTGGCCTTGTAATCCTGGGGGTCTCGGGTTCGATTCCCGGCGGTGCCCGAATTTATAACTTGTGTTGGGCAAGGCCGTGGTCTAGGCAACACGGAGTTTTCCTCCGTGGCATCCCAACAATTACTCCATTCAAACACAGAAGAAGGCAATGGCAAACCACCTCTGGATCATCTGCCAAGAACGTATATGAACAGATCCCAGTCCGAGAAAAGGATGGAAGGATCCTGTTCATACGGACCTGTCGTCAGACTTCTGGATCATCTGCCAAGAACGTATATGAACAGGTCCCAGTCCGAGAAAAGGATGGAAGGATCCTGTTCATATGGACCTGTCGTCAGACAGAACACTAAATAAAATAAATAACACCTGAAAGTGGAGGCAGTATGTTCCTCCGAAACATTGATGATCCATAACAACAACTTTGACATTGCTGTGTTAATTTCACTTCGAACGCGTCTCGTCTTTAGATGGAATTGATGTGATGCTGTTGCCCTGTGTTTGCGCATTGTCTGATGATAATGTTGTTTCGAAAGAGGGAGTGAATGTTGGACCTGAATCTGATGAGTGCCGTAATGGCGCACTTTTTGAATGATGTAGTAATCAGATGCTTTCAGAATGTTTTATCCAGTCGAATGAAAATAATCTTTGTTTGTAGTCCTTTTATTACTACGAGTCCAAAGGCAAACTTATATTACGGGACGTTTGCATATAGAGCGTGTAATTAAACACGGATTTTAGACTAATTGATTTGCTTAGAATGTCTAGCTGTAGGTGGCACCACTTGGCGACCGGTTGGTTGTGTGCGCACCGCGTAAGGCATGTCAAGACGTCCTCCTTTGAGCCCTGGGGTAAATTCCCTGGTACCATTAATTCCGTAGCTTGGATCAGAGAACAGTGGACGAAAAATGCCTTTGAATTAGTGCCGTAATGAATGATTTGTTTATTCAGTTAAGCTTAAATATCTGTCAAACAATCATATCTCGAGTGTTTATTGATAAAGGCTTATAAGAGTACTTATCCTCTCATCGTGGAGTGGTCGTTAAGATTGTCCTGTGTACATGGAATTTTGCACCAATGTAAAATTTTGTCAAAATCGGTGTATGCGGTCTCGTGTTCTTGGACAGACGGCAGGGTTGTAAACGCGTCTGGAGTTATTTTGTCGTTTGCTTAACGACGCAGTATCTTATAGTAGAATTATTAATTACGTATGTATAAGGAAGCGGTCATGACGTAATTTAATGTGTAATCCCAGTGTTTCCTTGGGGTGAGTGAGGAATACGACTTTTCGAGGATTTTTTTTAAAAAAATTTTACTACAGATGGACATAAACGTGCGTCTAGGTATTAGGATCCCGAAAGAGAGCAGAGTTTCTTTCCGTCAGAGATCTTATGTAATGAACCTGTCTTGGCTTTTGAAATCATCTTCTTTATTTTAATGTGTTGCTGGATTCTATCTAGCGAACACAGTTCGTTTCGCTAAGTTTTCCGCTCAGTCTTATTACTGGCAGACCGAAGGTTCAAGCTGAATGCGGTAACGAGTGTTATAATGAATTTTATCTTAAAGTAGGCTGCTCTTGTAAATCATCGGTTGAATCTCGTGATGACGTTATCTGTACCCGGTGCTGCTGCAAAAACACGTTTACAGAATCCGCCAAGCTCATGGCACGTAACATAATTTATGGCTTGTGATTGTATCTTTAATATTTATATGCTGCATAGGCTTGGGAAGATGCAAGTAAGCCTGAAGGGAATATGCCTCTTGAAAAAATAGGCCTAGATGAGAGGATAATATTAAAATGAATCTTAAAGAAATAGGGAGAGTGCGTGGATTGGTTTCGCCTGACGCAGGATGAGATTCTTGTGAATTCGAGACAGTACATGAATAGCAGAGTGACTGTTAGCTTCTGGGGATCTCTGCTATGTGTAGTCACAGGTTCATTTGATGAAATACACTTTAAAAGTCAGCTCAACTTACAAATTCATATTTTGGCAGTGTAATTAAAACTTGGCGTGCTATGTCGAGTACGTAATCGTTCGTAATGTTTCGTCATTCAGTGCAGGCTGTTGGCGTAACCGTTTGAAGCCGATGCTCGTCTGACTAATATTTAATTCAGTCCGTACCTCAAAGAAAACTTTTCACCATTACGAAGATAAGTTAGTTAACGCTGTTTATGGATTGACGTGTTTTATTGTCCACTTAGTGGTATGTAGACGATTATCAGTAAGTGCTTGTAATAGTGTACTCAGCAGTTTAAATAGTCTAAAAATCGCGTTCTTATGCGAGACTTATAAAAAAATTAGCTTAACGGCTGAAATCATTTGATTAATTATCTTATTATTTTATGGAAGTAAATTTAAATACATGTAAGTTTTAAGTCACCGCTTTAAATTCTATGTAAATTAGGATGAATTGTGCACCAAATATTTTGTACTGTAGTAGAAACGATTTATAAGTTTCTTTAAGAGTGAAAAAATGCTCAGACTGCTTTAAAATACTGCGGACAAATAGTTTTAAAACGTTCGTTTGAAAATTTTATGTAACGGATGACACAGTGTCGTCGGCGCTAAGAATTTATTACATTGGCCGTTTTTTTTAAGTGTGCAGTGGATTACTCAAACCTCAGACTGGTCTGGATGGTGAAATTCAAATTAATTTGAAATATGCGAACAGCTGTATCCTAACATAAGCTAAACTCAGTTCCGTGATGATTGCTCTCAAAGCGTTTCCTTCGCTTCGCAGTGGCGTTTTATATATTTGTTGTTTTTATTTCTCATGCCATCTCCGTTTCTCAGCTGTAGTTAGTCTTTATCGGATACCCCGGTAATTTAATGGACCTGAAAACAGCGACTGGAAACCGGGTGAGAGAAAAAGAAATTCTAGGGTAGGGCTGTTCGGTTCAGCTGGAGTGAGTTGTACGTTGTCACAAATCTGTTCCTCTGCAGAACTCTGAAACTGGTGTTCACTTTCGTCGTGTGGCTGGGCAGGGAAGTTGGAGTTGAGTTTTTGTATCGCCTTTGTCTGCATACACACTAAACTTATCGCTTTTATGTCTTTATTTGTTAAGTGAAAATAATGTTCCCTCGTCTGCTCCCATTGGCTCGGGGCAGGCTACACCTTTCACTTTCCGGCCCTATAAACCTAGCACTTACACCCTATTGGCATATTCATCGCCCTGATGACGGAGGCAGTATGACCTCTGAAACGTTGGTTAACATCGACCAGACTACACAGCGCAACAACCCAGAAGACAGAAATCTTCAATGTTCTGTCAGTTATGATCTTCAGGGTTGTGACGCTGTGTACCCCTGGTGATTATCAATGTTTTGGAGGAACTTACAACTTAAACATTTAATACTCCTAAAGTCTGATGATGTAGAAGTTTTTAACGTTGCTAATAAAATCTTATCTGAAAATTAGATGTGTCGGTCCGGAGCAGAATTCGGACGTTTCGGAGACCAAAAAGTTGGACTTTCCGCAGCTGATTTCCATAGATTTTTTGTAGCTTTTATCCACGTTTTTAAAGATAAATCCTGCATTAATTACAGACGTTGTCTGTATGAAATGAGTTTGAAAATCTTGTGTCTGAGGAACATTCTTATAGTAACTGTATTCTTGCACAGTTTCACGGTTTTAATATGTTGCTGATTTCTTTTTCAGATTAATCCAGTGCAATGATGACGTCATCGGCATGTTCGTACTCCATTGAAGTAACTGTCCTCTTCTCTGTCTAGTAGGTAATCATCTTTGTCTCTGATGTATTTTGTTTTCTTCGATGGGATTAATTCCTAAACCTAACAATTCTTTCTCTATCGTGACTTTTGTAGAGAAAAGTGTAGATACTTTTTTACTGGATAAAATATGGATAGAAGGTATCGTTTTTCGTCGTGTTTTTTGCTACAATATGGCAATGAAAATTGGACTAAGAAAGCTTAAAACCTACAACACAGCATAAGAAGACGTTAGAATTTACTTAACTCGTGGACCCCAAGGCACAACTTACGGACCACCGGTTGATAAACACTGGAATAGGTTATTAACAAATGTAGTTGCTGTTTATGTTAGCCGTAGACGCCATCTGCGCAAGATCATTATTTTAAACGTGATTACAGTAACGATTAAAACATTTTGGTTCCTCAGTAGATTTAGATACTACGAAATTAATGACCGTAGATAAATTTAGAAAAAATCTTTATTTCTGCTCGGAGAGACAATTACAAAAGAAATCTGACCGTCTTTAATTTTGTGTGTGGTCGTTTTTTATTCTGGTGGGGTTGCGGATAGCGAACCTAGAATGCGAGCTGTGTCTCGTCCTTGTGAAGCTCTTGGGAGCATTGTGGTTCTCGTATTCGGTCCTGCGCTTTATCTGAAGATGAGTTGGGCATTTGGGGCTAAAAACACACAAATCAAATGCTTTTTGCTGTCGTATATCTAGTTCATTCTGAATTGGTGTCGGAAATTAAAAATGCCGCACTGGCTGTTTCTTTTCGCTTAGTAACTTTCAAACCACCTGACCGATTTATATTAAACTTGGCATAAAAATCATACAGTATGTTTCCAGACAACTGTTCTTCCTTGAGGAAACAAGTAAGCGTTTTGAGACCTATGCTCCACAACTTTTAAACCAAATGACCGATTTTTACGAAATACGGTATAGGCATTGCGCTCCTATTCGGTGGACGCACGAACTACAGAGGTGGGAATGACACTAGCGACATTTAATATATGGTCGTGAAGTGATATATAGTAACAGATCTTCGAAAAATATGTTATTTTTATTGGGGTTTTTGTATAATTTAAAAGATTAACATGGCGGCCTTGCAAAAATTGTGATAATGTATCTTTGTTTTGTAGCGATAACCGATGAACACTGGAGGAAA